TTTTAAGTACAGAAAACGTTTAACCGCTGTGTCAACAAATATATAACAAAAGTATATTTTCAGCGAAAAGTTGATATAATAGAGACTTAATATTATTAATACTTAATAGGAAGATATGCTTTTATTCGGAATTTTTATGTAACAGGTTCTAAAATATATTTGGGGAATGACAATCAAAAAATAGACGTAATTTACTGAAAATTGGCATAAAACATAAAAGTTCCCCCCCCCCCCGTTCCCTGACATAAAAATCTATTTCCCAAAAAAAAATTTTTTCTAGATTTTAACTACTTGATTAGATTTAACTACACTTATTAAAAATTAATTTTTTTTTCACAAAAGTATTAATTTTTGCGACGCCATTGACAATACAAAAATGTCATTTTAACGCCTAGGCATAATAGTAAAGCACTTTTACGCCTAAGCACAACAATACGAACATATATTATAAAATTGACATAAAGTGTCAAATTCAACGAGCGTAACCCAGGAACGATAAACTAATAGGATTGCTCATCCTTATAAGACGTACGTTCGCCTCTTCCCGCGCTTCAGCTGACAGTTGTGACGTCATTGTAGTCCTTGTCATGATAGTGTGTATTATTGGTTGTCTATGGTAATCTTATAATATAACAGCTGAGAAATTTTGAGTTAATTATGTTGTCGATTCTAAATGTGAGAAAGGTGTTTTTTAAGTTTTTAGAGCTATAGAGTGTATAACACAACCTCGCTAAAACCATACCAAACATAATATATGAAGCGAGATAATATATGAAGGCCGTGGTATCCGACAAGGTGACTCTCTGAGCCCTCTTCTTTTCAACATCATTATGGACGAAATAATAGGAAATGTACGTTTACTGAAGGGATACAGTATGTGCGACCATGAAATTACTATTCTGTGCTATGCCGACGACGCCGTATTGGTAGCTTAAAATGAGGACGATCTACAGCGCTTATTACATCGATTTAACTGCACTGCCAAATCACTTAATATGATAATATCGACCCAGAAAACTAAATGCATGACGACATCAAAAGTACCACTAATATGCAAACTGGAAGTCAAGGGCAATATTATCCAGCAAGAGATGAAGTTTAAGTATCTAGGCATAGAAATCTCAGGATATGGTGATGTAGAAGCGGAGGTGCGAGAAAAGACAACGAAGGCAACCAGAATAGCAGGATGCCTGAATGACACTATATGGCGAAATAAAAATATTGAGGTGAAAACTAAAGCGAGAATTTACAAGGCAACGGTACGACCAATAATGACATACACTGCAGAAACTCGACCTTATACAGCGAAAACTAAACAACTACTAGAGAGAACCGAAATGAGAGTACTAAGCAGAATAGCTGGAAAGACTCTTCTGGACAGTGAGAGAAATGAAAGCATAAGAAGAGCATGCAAGGTGGAAAATGCAAATGAGTGGGGTACTCAGAAGAAAGGAAGAATGGAACGAGCATATCAGCAGAATGGACAACAGAAGGATAGTGATAATTGCACTGACAAATCACCGCTAGGTCGCAGAAGTTTAGTACGTCCACGGTAACGATGGAGCGACTTGTCAGTCTAACCGGTAGAGATGACGAAACCAAACAGGCGATTCGCCTAGTATGAAGAAGGGAGAACAAGAGTGTATAAATAGGCTCATTTTGTGTTGTGGATTGTGACTAAGTACCTAGGATATTGTTTATTAATTATTTTAAAGCAAAATATGAAAGTACTCTAAAAAGAATGCTTGCAAAAGGTGATGCTGGGAATGGCTATTCTTAAAAATGCTTTATCCGAGTATTTAATACAATTTTTACAGTTAATTTTCTATACTGCATACATATAAAGTGTTTAAATAAATAAACTAAATAATAAATATTATGCATACGGCAACCAATAATACACAGACTGTCATGACTACAATGACGTCACAAAGCGAGGAGTTTTCGCATTCACCAGGCAGACACTTTCGGCTGAATGAGAATATTAGGTTAACTGTTCTTGAGCGTAACCATAGTTTCTTGATATATAATTAGAATTATTAGAATTACATACAAAGTATTGCTTTTAAATATTTTTGTCCGTGCACGACCACTTAATAATAAATCAATATTCTACTAAAATAGCTGAAGGAATATGGTACCCATATTTGTAATAGAGTGAAATATAACAGCTGATAAGAGTGAATTATGATAAATCACACTTTGCATTTACTTTACATTTGTTGCTATGCCAATGTGACACTCACAACTTCCCGATGAGCGGCGTGGATGATTTGACGTTTTTCTTTTCTTTTCTTTTTATTAATTTTGACGTTTAAAATTGTCAAATGTTAAGTAGGTAGTGATTATTAAGTGGCATATCAAGAACTCGTTTAAAATCAAAAAATGAATTATGAGAGTGATAATGAGCCCTGTACACCACCAGAGATAGCAGAGGTTTCCAAATTAACAAGTCCTGGATTGCTACCACAAAAGTCTAAGGATCATTACATGTCTGCCTATAAAAACTTTCTAGACTGGAGGATTGCTAAAGGCATAAATTCGTTTTCCGAATCCGTGTTATTAGTATATTTAGTTGCCATTGTAACGAAACAAAAATCAATCCCCTGATTGACTAAAGAATGTTGGTATGATATTTTCATGCAAAGAACTTGGAATAATATCAATGAAATTCAAATACATATATAACTTTAAATAAAACACAAATTACCAACTTTAGTTACACAAAACAACAAAAAGTCAGATGCTGGTAACTCTAACTCGGCTCCTATGTGATATAGGGGATGAAACTCGGAATGTTGAGGGGGCTCGAGGGCCCAATCTTCTTTTGCTATTTTGACGACGTTTCGTGCACTATGCAACGCCATCATCAATGGTGAAAAAATCGTCCGATTTAAATGAAATTTGGTTTGTAGATAGATTGGACCAAGGTCAATTTGACGGTGCAAGATACCTGTCACTGTGACAGTTAGTTTTGACGTAAGAAACGTCAAAAGTTGATTAGTGAAATTAGGCGGGTTTCGTATGCATTTTTATCAGGGTGGGACTAGGAATTTAATATTGATGAAAAAAGTGTGGCGATTTCGGCATAATTGGGGACGGGCTACCGGATCTCCCTCTACTATTCGCTACTAGTATCCGCTTTCGACGAATCGGGTCTATATGGACCAAACTCATAAGAGTTTTTCAGACACGTGGATAGATATAACCGATTGGAGTCCTGAGACGGACCGACAATTTTAACACAAATTTTGTGAAAGCGAATCAAATTATTTATTAATTTTCAATTTATTATTTTTTCAAATAGGTCCTTGAAAACCTTCAATTTAACACTGTTAGTGAGAAGTTTCACTTCTAAAGGCGCATTCTCACGACTGGTGTACTTGACAAACATTTGTTTGGAATATACTTGCCATGTCGTGAGAACGGTTTCCTTGGTCACTCCTCGCGTCCCCACTCTCTGTCGGTAAACATAGCCCGAGTCAAACGATTAATCGTACACTTGCCAAGTGTACTTGGCCAGCCTTGCCGAGGCGCAAAAAAACGACTGCGTAAATAATTGTACTGTTATAGCGTATGTCCCGTTTATTTCTGGATCGTAGTGTTTTTCGAGTTAATTGCTGATAATTTAAAACGTTAAAACAATAATAGATTATATAATATCAAATTTACATTAATAACTTCAATATTGGCGACATACCTAAATCGTTCCCACAGCAATAAATGGAGTGGACAAATAAAGACTACACGGGAAAAATAGATATGTCAAATTATCATAGAAATTAAGATAATAATAGACTTAACGTCATTCGAGAAAAAAAAAGCAATAGTACGCTTAGCCCCAGAGATATTACAGGTTGGTATTTTGCCGTACAAGGGAATAACCAGAGTAGTCCACGCGTAAATGGCAAAAACCAGAGATGTCCTTACGCATTGGCAACAAGCATGCATCATGCAATTAGTATTATATGTTATAAATTTATGTATCTATTGTAATATAAATCTACTTAAATATTAATTTTTTTCCTACAACAAAATATAATAGTTTAGATTTAGGTTTTATATCACCTTTAATTGGACATCTTTGGTTTTTTCCCTGTTTTGTTTGGTTTGGTTTGGCATTTTGACATTTTTATTTCGGTATAAGGTAGAAAATGGAGATAATTCACAATACTAAAAAACTCCGAATTGGTAGTAGGTAATATATATTTTTCTAATTATTCAACCGAAAATAACATATTTCTTTAAAAACACTAAATTGCATTTTGTCCCCCTCACAAACAAAATTGACGTGTTTTTTGGATTTTTTGAAAAAAAAATATCCTGGCCGTTATGTCTTGCGGAACGGTTTCGATGGGCCACCCTGTATAGGTAAACTGTGGCCGATTTGCAAGGAGCATACATAAACTTTGTATACTTCCTGTTGGGAAATAGAAAGGAATCTGAGTAGATGTATTCGTTATCTATGAAACTTTTTACGCAGATTTGTATTATCATTAATGTATTCACTTTGTTTTGGTAAATAAATATAATAGGTATGGATTATGAGACTTTCTTTTATTTGTACATATGCCTAAGCTTATGTAATTTTGTGCATACTGATATTCATTCGTCCATTATACTATTTAAATTTATGTATGTGAGGGAGACGCTCACACGCGTGCAACGACGTTACAGTAAGAGACGCGTTAAAAAGAAAAAAGAATCACTAGCAACGACTATTTCGGGACGACCGGTATCCATCGATGCGACTATACTGTTTACTTGCCAAGGATTTAAACAATGTTTGTGCTGGCGTACTTCAATTTAATACTGTTGAAATGGACACGTCGTGTGAGCGCCACACTTGCCGATGTTGTTTACAAAGTGGGGACTGGTGGGGATACTTGCCAAGTACGCAAATATTGGCGTACTTGCCAAGTAGACCAGTCGTGAGAGTTCGTCTTAATATGCACACATAGCACACACCATTTTTTTAATAAAATATCTCTTTGTTGCAGGTAATAGTCTATCCAACAATCGAGAGTCTTCAGATATTCGGCGCAGCTTCTATACTGTCAGCAATATGGTTGATAGCTATGCTACTGGCCTCACCTCTATTCTTCATCCGACACCTAACACATCACGAACTGCCTATGACGGGAAACGTCATTTTTAGTCTGGACTTTTGCATAGAAAATTGGCCAGTGGACCACGGTCGCGCATACTACTCGATATTTTCGCTGATTTTCCAGTATACTTTACCAATTCTGATAGTTTCGGTAAGTATATACATTACCTATAAATATACAATTAATTCTCTTCCATATGTTTCTTTTTTCTGTTTAAAGAATTTGATAGGATATTAACTGCAAAAAAAAAATTGGTGGCCCTAGTCTTAAAAAGGGATAAAAATATTTGATTTCTTAGACCAGTATAACACTATCAAATTTCTTTGTCAAAGATTTTATTTTATCCAGGAATTTGTCAGTGTAATATGTGTGATTTTATAAAATATTGTATATTAACAATGTCAAATTTTTCATCAAATATTTTTTATAATAGTATATTACATACCGAGGAGGGAAGTGTTTCATTACTGTCGAGAGATTAACTAAATCTCGAGAGAATAATGAAAACTTTCCTCCGAGGTTTGTATACTATTTTATTTACAACCATATCATTAATTAAAAAATAGGGACAGTATTTTATTTTGAAAAAAATAAATAAATATGCGAAAATTTGTCGTTTTTTGTTTCTGTGCATTTTCATATCTATAGTTACCGGTACCAGTGATTGTTATGGCGCAAACCTTCAACAGCAAAACAAACAACTAAGTGACAGTTTTGAATTTATCGTTCGCTTTTTCGAATTTTTATAACATATAACATAGAAAGCCAGAATGTTGTTGGAAAGTTCGGATAATGAAGACTACTTTAATATTGGTACTCCACCAGAACTTACAGAAGCTGCAAAAAGAGCAGAAGCCAGTTTACTTCCAGAGAAAAGTAGGGGGCGATATGAAGTAGCACTGAAAGTATACGAAAAATGGTGTGCCAAAAGAAATTCTAAAAATATTGCTTCGGAATCAGTCTTGATGGCATATTTTAGCGACATGGCAAGGCAGAAAAAGCCATCTACTCTTTGGGCTACGTACAGCATGATACGGACAATGCTAGAATTAAGGAAAAGACTGACATATCAAAATATCACAAACTCGCCGCTCTTTTAAAACTCCAGAATGTAGGTTTTAAGCCAAAGAAGTCTAGCATTTTTACCAGGCAAAACTTGGAAGATTTTCTCACGAAAGCACCTCAAGAATTCCTTCCTATTAAAGTATGACTTTTTTTAAATGTTTTCTTTTTCTGTTTTTAAATATTTCTTTTCATTGTTTTAGGTTGCGCTTATAGTAGGTGTGTCTGGGGCATGTTGAAGTGATGAACTACTGAAGATGGAAACTACACATATTGATATTTTAGAAAGGCTCTGGTGCACAATAGGTCCCCACGCATTTAACACTTTTTTGGGATTTTTTTGCAAGATTATCTTAAACTGAATATTTTTAAGCATAAAAATTGTTTGATGAATGTGTTTTATCTTTAAAAAGCGGCAAAAAAACGTATTTTAGGTACAGGCGACGGACAGTAAATATGTTAAATTTTCTACACGGATTCAGTAAAAACATCACATATTAGTACTTTATTACCTTATATAGACGTGGAATGATCTAATTTAAGCACAAAAATGTAACGAATCTTCTTTGTAAGCATAAAAATTAAGAAAATATATTTATTTACATCAGCTCAAGCTAGCAATTTTATGACTTTTTCGATTGACAGTTAATCGATCATCGGTATGTCATCTATGGCCTTCGCATAGAATTTGCGACGTTGTCAATAAAATTACTTTATATGATTTTCTTCTGAAATAAAGTTGTTGTGGAGGGACTTAAAACGGTAAGTTATCACTTTAGTGCAACAAAAATTGAACTGTCTAGTAGCTTATTCGTTAGTGTGGATTATTTTAAAGCAATTTCTGAAATAAAATTTGCGGATTTTTCAGGTTCTACGAAAATATAAGTTTTTTTAATATATACTGTTTTTCGACGCGTAATCAATGAAGTTTTGTCATTAGGCTCAATTAGGTTAGCCTGGTTATTTGGAAGGTGGTAATGCATTGGTTAGCCTGGTTATTTGGAGGGTGTTAATGCAATGGTTAGCCTGGTTATTTGGAGGGTGGTAATGCATTGGTTAGCCTGGTTATTTGGAGGGTGTTAATGCATTGGTTAGCCTGGTTATTTGGGGGTGTTAATGCATTGGTTAGCCTGGTTATTTGGAGGGTGGTAATGCATTGGTTAGCATGGTTATTTGGAGGGTGTTAATGCATTGGTTAGCCTGGTTATTTGGGGGTGTTAATGCATTGGTTAGGTTAGGTTAGATAGGCTGGTTATTTGGAGGGTGGTAATGCATTGGTTAGCCTGATTATTTGGAGGGTGTTAATGCATTGGTTAGCCTGGTGATTTGGAGGGTGTTAATGCATTGGTTAGCCTGGTTATTTGGGGGTGTTAATGCATTGGTTAGGTTAGGTTAGATATTCTGGTTATTTGGAGGGTGGTAATGCATTGGTTATTTAAACAGTCTGGTTATTTGGAGGATGTTAATGCATTGGTTAGCCTGGTTATTTGGGGGTGTTAATGCATTGGTTAGGTTAGGTTGGTGGGGAGTGTTTGGAAGTACGCAGATCACATCGATTTCGGAATCTTACTGAACAAATCCGGGAAAAATATATTTTTAAACAATTGTGCTAAATACTGTGTAATGATTTTATTGTCAATTTATTTTTATAGTGTTTTTGTTTTGCCTCGTTTATTATATTTTTAATTTTTCGTGTTCTTAAAGTGCGTACTAAATGTAAAAAAAAATGAATATAAAGTAGAACGTTTTCGTCGATTTTACACAGGGTGAGTATGGCAACACTGTGCATAACCTTGTATTTTACTGTCTTTATGAAGGTTATAATAGGGAGTTTTCGCATTGAAATGTAGTGAAAATTTGGAATTTTCAATTATTTTTTTTCGTAGAAAAAGTGGTTCATCCAACAATTTTTTTCTTTTAAACCATTCCATTAACTATGGGATCCACATTAAAAATTAAAAAAACCACGATTTCGTGGGGACCTGTTCTGCACAAGACCCTTTTAGAAAACAAAATTTGCATAGAAATTCCCGATACAAAAACTTATAAGAGCAGAACATTTATGATAACTAACACAAGTTGGATAGAAATTGTGAAAGAATTTATACAGTTACGAAAAGTTATTGAAAATGAGAGATTTTTTGTTCAATATCGATTAGGAAAAGCTCGAAATCAACCCTTTGGATACAATTCTATATCGAAATTTCCGTACAAAATTGCTAGTTTTTTAAAACTTCCCAATGTGAAAACCTACTCAGGTCGTGCTCTTAGACGAACAGCGGCTACGTTGCTGGTAAATAGCGGAGCTGATATTTTACCGCTGAAGCGTCTAGGGGACTGGAAATCCAGTGCTGTGGCTGAGGGTTATGTGGATGCATCTGTAGCTAACCAAACTAAAACCGCAAATATGATATCTTCAACGACATCATTGCCATCGTCTTCCTGTGGCAATTCAAACTCTTTACCTTCTTTCGTTGACATTAAAAGACCTGGCTCAACTCAGGAGTTAAGCAGTTTGCAGCAGTGAAACCTGAATGAGTGAAACACATCATCAGGGCGGCCCCTTAACAATATCGATTAACGCGTACAATAAGTCAAATTTGACCATTAATTTCAAAAAACAAATGTATTAAAATCTTCAATTATTATTGTTAATCTTCTTGTTTATTTTTGTTGATGTTAGATAAGTCTTTAATAAAGATATTACAAGAATATTTTGCTTAATTAAATGAGGCGAGAAATAAGAAAACCGAGTGAGGGAAATGGAAGAGGGAAGAAATGTAGATCATAACTTTTTATAAGTCAGTAATGTCAGTATTACATATGTGGTTGTAAATAAAAGATCTTTGACAAAGAAATTTGGTAGTATAAAACTGGTTCAGTTGAATTAATATAAGTTTATATCATCTAGGTTACTCTAAACATAAATAGAGTCATAACTCTCTTGGGATGTTAGTAATATAGTGCCATAATTCCCCCTACCTTTTATAGGTACAACCATGATAATACAACAGAGCTTTCGAGAAATAATATATAATGAAAATGGACACCTCGATAGACACACATCTATCTACTCTAATAATTTACCTATGTACCTCATTGATGACACATATATTTAATTTACAAGAGGACAGTTTAATCGACATCCCCTGCTACAAAATTTTTCTGTCCCAGCCACTGATTTTATATTCCTTTTGGTAAAAGGATTGACTTTTATGTGGAAGTACCGCTGGAAACGTATTCAGACGTGTATGTTTCATGGGAATTATTTAGAATTAAGTTTTAGACATCCTGTATAAAATAATAATATTTTTATCATTGCAGCACAATATCTGATCAATGAATAAACTTCAGTAAATATTTAGTATTAAAAACTTTGATACCCTTGGAGAAATGAAATTAGTCTTAAATTTTTAACTGCAATTTCACAAAATTGAAAATATTTCAAAAACAGTAAGGTCTAAGTGTAATAAACCTTAATCAAATTTACGTTTATTTCATTCGTAGAATTTTAAAATAGAATAATATACAGGGTGTTCCATTAAAAAATACAACTATAATATTTTTTACTTATTTGGAACACTCTACAGGGTTGTTCACCACATACGACACGGAGTATTGTAGCTAAACGATTAGATTTTTGCAAATTGTAAGTTTTGGGTTCGTTGGAGGACTATTAGAGCTACAATATAAAATTATTTTTACAAGATACAGAGTGTCCACAATAAATAAAAAATATCAAAGTTGTATTTTTTTAAATGGAACACCCCGTATATTATTGCATTTTTAGTTTCTACGATTAAAATAAAGGTAATTTTGATTAAGGTTTATTACACTTAAACCTTGCCGTTTTTGAAATATTTTCAATTTTGTGAAATTGCAGTATAAATTTTAAGGCTTCATTTCTCCGAGGGTATCAAAGTTTTTAATACTAAATATTTACTGAAGTTTATATATTGATCAGTTATTGTGTTGCAATAATAAAAATTATACTACCGTATACAGAGTGTCTAAAAATTTATTTTAAATTATTACTAGCTTTAAACGGCAATAACTTGTTTAATTTAAATGGAACACCCTGTATATTTTATGAGAATCAGATGCACAATTTAATTGTCTATCAAATTGTATTATACCACTTTTTAGCTATCCCTTTAAGTTTTCGTAGAAAATGCATTTTCTTATAATTTAGACCTCATTTATCAATATACCCATGGAATATTGACATTTTAGATTGTTTTTAAAACAACAAATGTACAAAATGTACATGCTAGTAATATTATCGTTTTTAGTAAAATGATAATATTACTAGCTCATTTGTATGCAAAAAGAAAACTATTTAAATCTTTATAAAAGAGTATACCAATGAAATATACCACCAGTATTTCCGCCCAAATACTAATTAATTCCATACTTAATTGTGTTCGTTAATAAATTATTCTAAGTAAATGTGGATTTGAATCAGAAATCAATATAATAATGAGTTATGAAAATGAAAGTCTCTGTTGTTATAAATAAGCATTTGTCAAAAAATAAAATATAATTTTTTAGGTGTTAGTTTTTTTACCACAATGTCTAATACACATACATAATTCAGTTTTTTAGTATTTGGAGCAATTATTATTAATCAACGCAAACAGTAAATTAATGTAGTTTGAATACTGGAATCATATTAATTGGTCCTCTTTAACAAATATTTAAATAGTTTTTTTTATTTTTTAATGAAATAAGCAAACTATATCGACAATATTAGTATCTGTACTCTTTAAAAATTTGGTACATCTTTAAAAATAATCTAAAATGTCAGCATTCGATGGGTATATTGATAAACGTTTATTTTAATCGTAGAAACTAAAAATGTAATAATATACAGGGTCTTCCATTTAAAAAAATACAACTTTGATATTTTTTATTTATTTGGGACATTGTGTATCTTGTAAAAATATTTTTAAATTGTAGCTCTAATAGTCCTTCAACGAACCCAAAACTTACAATTTGTAAAAATCTAATTGTTTAGCTACAATATTCCGTGTCGTATGTGGTGAACAACCCTGTATATTTTAAAAATATTTTTAAATTGTAGCTCTAATAGTCCTTAAACGAACCCAAAACTTACAATTATTTGTAAAAATCTAATCGTTTAGCTACAATACTCCGTGTCGTATATGGCGAACAACCCTGTAGATATGTTACAGCTAAAATGGATAATTGGCTAGTTTTAAAACTAGCCAGCTATTTTGCAAACTAACTAGAAGCGCTGTTATTTTGAAGGAATCCGCCCATTCTTACAAAATAGCAGGCAGCCAAAACGGCTAGTTTACAAACTAGTTGGTTAGTTTGCAAACTATATATTCGTATTGGATAATGTCATAATTTTATATTTATGATTTCATATTAACCAGTTATTTTAGTTAGTTCGTATAATAATCATTTATAATTTTGGCTAATATGATAACTCCATTAGTTTTAGTCACCCAAACTAGTTTATGAACTAAAATCAAAAAATCTTCAATTTAAGAGTTAGATTGTGCCTATAAATTCATCAAATTGAAGAGCTTACTTTTGTTTCTGTATTTGTACGCCTATTTGTGTGATTCTGTCAATTTAATGTGGTTTAAGTTGCAAAATAAAAAAATTAAAAAAAAAATTAAAAAAAGAAGAAATAATAGTTTTAATATGGATGCTTTCAAACAGCCAAATAAACAATAAATATACATTTGCAAATGAGCAATAAGTTAAAATTGGATAAAAATTTAGTTTTCAGTTTAGTAATTATTTATAATAATTTTAGTATTGCAATGTACTTATTTATACTTATTTATTCAACGGCGAGGTACTTGTCCATTCATATTGTAATTATACAATAAAATAAAGCCAAATCCTAAGTATTTATTAGGTTAAAAGCTCTTATTATTATACACTCTCACTTATTTTCTTTTATCTGTATAAACCCAACTACCATGTTCGATGTAACCAACTTATCTTTTATATTATAGTTGCTACTATTCTCATTTTATCTTATTTTATTTTTTTGATTGTTTGAACCTACCTTTTCAGTAGTTATGTACTATACGGCTTTCCGCTATATTTATATTTAGTTAAGTACTGTACAGTTTGTGTTTAAAATATGTTAAAATTTATTTTTAATAAATACATTTAAAAAAAAATATTATTTTATCATATTATCCTATCCATCCTAACTCCGTACCTTAACAAACAAAAACAATTAAAATAAATTTTGTAAACTATCTGGTAAGTATGTAAACTAGCAGCTATTTTAGTAAACTGAGGTAAAATCCCCATCCAAACCAGATTTTATAAATAATTTACATACTAACCAGTTAAATTATCAACCAGCTGTGGTTGTTTGCTATTTTGCAAGAATAGGCGGATTCTTACAAAATAACAGCGCTTTTAGTTAGTTTGCAAAATAGATGGCCAGTTTTAAAACTAGCCAAGTATCCATTTTAGCCGTAACAGATACATTATTACAAATTATTCGGAGAGTCTATTTTTAAACAGCTTGATATTTTTTTTACATATCTTCATATTTTGTGACATTTTTTAATATAATATTATTTCTGGTACTATCGACTAGTATTTGCACCATTTACATATAGATAACTCATATTTTATCCGTTTTGTTACAGTGTTCGTACTGGAGTATATCCCACAAACTAAAACGAAGATTCCAAGGAGTTCTAGTAAGCACAGATGAAAACTTTCAAAGAAACAGGAGACAGCTTCGAGGAAGAAGATTACAAAGGACGAATATTCTGCTGGGGTCCATAGCAATCATATTCTGCATTAGTTGGTTACCTCTAAATTTGTTCAACCTCATAGCGGATCTATCGACTGATTCGAATAAGTTTACTAGTCAACCCATGATGGTAAGTGGTAAATAATATTAGTTTTGCTATGAGTTAAATTCAGTAAGAAGATAATTGTCAGATTTATTTACACTTCAACCTCTTTAATCGGAATATCTCAATTGCGATGTTACATAATGAACGCTACGATAAAAGACTGATCAATTACTAAGATTGCTAAAAATGTTGTTATTGTTTGTAATAAAAACGGCTTTAAATTTACGCTTTTTTCAGCGAGGTTTCCTGTGGACAACGCGAGCTTCTGATCACTTTATATTGTGCTATTTTGACCAAACATGATGCGCAATAAATGACTTCATTATTTCATCCCTTTATACATATTTTTTTGTGCTCGCTAAGTCGTACATTTAGAGGATGTTTAGTCTCTCCAATATGCGACTCACTGCATTCACAAGGTACCTGGTAGATATATTCTTTCTCTTGTTTCAATGACTCCGTTCTTGTTTTTGTTAGGAAATTGTATATTATGGTAACATAAATCTTCGTCTTCTTTATACAGGGTGGCGCACCTCATTCGTCTCGGTCGCTTATCTATTTTATCAAGAAAAATAAAGCAGTTCTGCTAGAGGAACGAATGTTTCCTACTAGTCATTTTATTTTGTGAGAAAAATTGCGTCTTGGCCTCAAGGGCTTATACCCTTGTATATATATATTTAAAGTAGATCAACCTAAGACGTTTATGGACTAAGACTACTAGATGGCAGGACCGGTTTCCCTACATAAAAATATTTTTTGTTACTCTGAATTTTGAAGCTACCAATAAAAACAGAGAAAATAAAAATCGATAATTTTCGGACTGTGCCAATTAGTTACTAATCGACCAGATACTTTTTGTCTATTAGATATGCTATAAAAGCTGGCAATTATACAATTCGACCATTGTAAATACCCGACAAATTCTTCAAGGCCGACAAGGCTGATGCTTCTCACTGATAAGAAATAAAAATGTTGTTTGTTTAGATAATTTTCGAGGTATTTTTTCTTTCTGAATGCACATTTTAAAGTATTTTATATTTTTTGGCCCCTTGACCTATTATTCTGGTCGCACGTATGGAAGTTCTGTTTCTTCTAGTTTTAGAAAATGTTCATATTTCTTTTTTCTTTGTAGGTGTAGTGTAAAATTAGATTAATTTATTATGTTTAATTATAGTGTTTAGTGTAGCATGTTAGTGTAGTCTACCAAAAATAGTTTAGTAGTGTTTTTATAGTTTATTTTGTAGTTAAGTAGTAGGTGAAGAGATAATTTTGTTATTTTTTCTTTTTGTTTGATAAATTAGTAAGTTTGATAATTTGTTCAGTGTAGAATACAAGAATAAGTAGTTGTGTAGTGTTTTTAAGAGATTATATTCGTTTATTTTGTAGTTGAGTAGTCGGTGAAGGGGTATTTGGGTATTTCTTCTTTTTGTTTTTCTTGTAATAATTGTAGTAGTTCTATTAAATATTGTGATAGATACACTATATCTTCCTTCAACTTCGTTGAAAAGTGCGTTATCATATAATCTTGGTTTTCTGGTAGCAGAATATACGAAAAAAAAGCTGATCAAATTTATTTGAAATTAAATTAATCTAGCCTTATTAATCGAATTAAACTAGTTAAATAATAATAATAGTTAGTTGCAAAATACTATACAGGGTGAGTTTCCCACGATGTTCTCTATGGGCATCTTGGAAACTACTGGAGATAGAGAGTCGGTTAATGGGGAAAGAATTGCAGTTTTGTGGGGTCACAAATATGCGCCTTTCGGATTTTTCGGAGAAGTTCAAGGCTTATTAGATATTCCGAAAAAAACAAATTTTGGCTATTTTAAAACTTGTCTCTAATTCCATTTTAATCTACTGTATGATTGTATGATCGAATAAAAACGGCGTCAACGATGGCTATGAAGTGAAGATCGCTGTCATTTTATATATAAAATTATATGGGAAATATCATTGATCGTCATTTCATAGCAATCGCTGACGCCGTTTTTATTCGATCATACGGTATTTTAGACAAAAAGTTTTCAGATAAAAGTTGTAGATAATCACATACCTAATGAGTTTGTGTTTTGTGTTTTTTTTTCTAAAATCTGTCATTTTTGACATATGACACAAACATATGTTTTTTTAGTAAACCATAGTTGGCCATGACTTCATAAAAAGCGCCATTTTTTAAGCTTTTCAGCGATACGTATAATATGTTTTTTTTCGAAAAATTACAAGTTATAGCCAATTCTTTTCTTTCTTGGCTAATTTCCATACCAATAATACCTTAGAATAATAATACCATGCCAATTAGTTAGCATCAAAAATGTTTGAAAAAAGTTTTGTTTTCAAAAAAAAATATCGTAAAATTCGTAAAGCACTCAATTTAGAATAAAATAATCTAAGAATGAAATGATTCTTTTATAAACCTACATTATTATATATTATAATTAAAATAGGTATGTAATTTTTTTTAAATATTAATTAACAGCCAATTAGCATTATCATAAATTGTAAATAATGTACCAACATATCGAAATAATAATTTCTTTGTTAATACGGTTTAGAATTCTTAAAATAACAGTCAAAAATAATCCACAATTTACAATAAAATAAAAGTTTCGTTTAAATTTCTTAATCAGCTGATCACTATTAAAGTTCGCAGAAACCCGGGCTATATTATTACATTACTCTGAGGAAAATAACGAAAATAATCGATATTTTTGCCTCCGCCCCGAAAGGTTCACGATTTGTCCTCCAGTTAGCAGCACATTTTGTCTAGTCGGTTGAACAACTTTAAGAATATATAAACAAGGCTTATACCTATGCTCACAGATATCCAAATAGGAATCTTCCTGATAAGCGTTCCTTTTAAAAACTACTTGTCCTATATTTCGCAGAGCTGGTAGTGTGGTTTATAAAAAACCTACTAGGCAGAAACCTATCGTTAGAAGTGAAGAAAATGAATTTGCTGTAATTTTTTTTTGCTTTATAGAAAATCCATATATCTACAAGTCATCGTAAAATAAATCAAAGAACTACTTCTTCGTTTTACTTGATAGAATAATAATTACATATTTAATAAATATTATTATTAAACTATTGTAAAATAGTATTTTTATAATTGTAATAATTAAAGTAAGCTGAAATAAATATAAATAAAGTCCATAAACTAATTTCGATTCTGAAAATAGCTACTGTCACTAGAAACTTGCCATGACGCTTATATTATTAGCCCTCTTGATTGTCATTTTATTGAAACTTCTCTCTTTATTCAAAATCTAAGCTAGATCGGTATAGGAGACCCTAATATACTTCGAAAGAGCATTCAATTGAATCTGCTTCGATTTATTTAAAAAAATACAAAGTCTTGTATTTGAAATAATAAAGTTTTTATGTAAAATAAATATATAAAATATACCAGCAATTTTTGATACCCCTGTATACATTAAACGAAGTAATCAAATTTTTCAGTAAAGTTTATTTCTTTGGCTTAAAAGTCAGCACAAGAATTAATTTTGAAAGTCAATGTACAGGGTGTTGACAATATTTTTTATTATGGCATGCAAATTTAAATATCTCTAAATATCTCAAAAACCAAAGCCTATAAACATATTTGACCGTTATAATAAATGCCTTATTTTATGTCGACGGATCCAAATATGAAATAAAATACCGGGCGTTCCATACGAAAAAATATAACTTTGGTGTGGATCTTAGTTCTGACATAACCTGTACATTTCAAAATAATTTTAAATTATGCACATTGCCTTCCCACATATACCCATAAAATATTTTGTTTCTACATCTTTCCGTTTTCGGATAAATTAACCGAGGATAATGATGTGCACCACCCTGTATACCTAACGGTAATTCTACCTAGAATAGATATAAGCTTTCTTTTTTATTATTTATTAACATAGAGTGCTCCAAACACATTATCATTAGAATCCAGAGGTGTTTTATGCCAGAGTATCATTAAATAAAATACATTTATCTAAACCGTTAAAGGCATGTAAACTACTTGGTTGTCGTAAAAAGACATAACAATAGAAAAGCCATTAAAAAATAATGGCGCTTGGCTTAAAACCTCTAAACTGGAAATAAAAATTGTTTAGTCAGGTTTTAATTCCTGATACGGTTCCTTCCGTTTCTCTTTTGTTTTGAAACAGTATACTTTAATTCTTTCGCAAACTACTTCAGTTTCCGATACTGAACTGAGGGTGCTGTAAAATGGAAAGGAATGGAATTTCAATTATTTTATTTTTATTGGAAGCAGTGGCGTATTTTTCAAGGTTTATATTGGCGAAATAAAACACTAATTCACCACAATACACCAAAACACTATTCGATTTGCACTGAACGCACATTTTGCTAACCATTTTAATGTACAGGGTGACCCAATATTTCGTGGACGTATTTTGGGAATCAAAATAAGTTCATTGGACAAAATTTACTTTTATAAAAAAGTGCTTCGTTGTTTTTTTATATACCTATTATACAGAGTGGTCCGAACTGTATTCCGGAAATTCTGCAGTAAAATATAAGTAAAAAAGTTCGTATAAATGTTTGTCTTAAAGTGCTTACTTTCAGAGATACAGGGTGCAGAAGTTTCATTTTTATTTCAATTTTTTCTAAATAATTTCTGAAGTAACGTCAATATTTGGATGAAAATAGGTGTCTGGAAGTTTTTTGACATGAGAAATTTGATTTAGATGTCAATATGACTCCTACTAGTAGGGAGCGCCACCTACATGTGTTTCAACTGTTTTGAAGCGTAATAACTTTTTGTCCGTACCTGTATAATACAGAGCCAAAAAATGTACATCTCTGGGACTTTTCACTTAAAAAATATTTCTTTGTAAAAATCGCTACGAGCAACCGTTCTTAAAATATTTAGAATGGAAATAGACAATACATGTCATTATTGACGAAAAATAAAGACGTTGAGTAGGTAGTTTCACTGAAATAATAAATTTAGAAAATTTTAATTTCTTTAAATTAATCATAAATTTTTCTGCAAAAAATTATGATAA